GTCCTTTTATTTGGCTTCATTGAGGAATGCCAGTCCACAATTTTAGCTTGCTGTCCACTTGTGCCCTGCAAGAAGATGAGACCAAACACGTACTTTCTGTGTTTTTGAGAGCTATTGCACCTCTGTCCATCAGACAGCTATAGTTCTGCCTCAGACCTCATTTCATCCTTCTAAGTGTTGTAGATTCTCTGCTTGGGCGTTTTTAAGAACGATCCTTGTGCTGCTCTTCAAAATGCCATTTGACCAATTGGTTGACATTTCAGTCAAGGAGGTGAGAGAGTTTCTGGTTATGTCCTTCCAACATTGGGTATGAAAAGGGGAGTATTGTAGCATTCCCTGATATTCGTTATGAATGTTGGTTCTGATGAAAGTCTGAGGTTATCAAACAGCCTTTTTTTTTTTTTTTTAATCTCTGTGGTTGCAGCTGGACTCTCCATTGAGAGAAAAGACGGTAGATACACTAGATGTGTCTAGAATTTGCTTTGTTTTATTTATGACAGCCTATTTCTATCTTTAGCTTGGTATTCCAGTATCCCGAGGTCCAGCCCTCCCTTTATAAGGATATGCATGACCTGAAGGGAGAGCTTTCCTATTAAAAAGCTTGTTGTTCTCACCCTCCAACAATGTCGGTTGATTTGACTCAAAGATATTACTTCTCCTTGCAAGTCTTTTCTTCCTTTACTCAGAAAAGCAGTTGCCAAAGGCTAGATATTATAAATAACATGCTAATCATCCTATGGAAACTGCCCATGTGCCTGCTTTGTAAGTGTAATGTAATATATCCCTCCGTGAAAGTGGAAAACTGCTACAAATACTACATGTTAAGAGAGTTCACTTGGCAGTTACTGTGAAATAGTGAACATGCCGTAAATCTACAACCTAATTTATCTCATAGTCATTTAGGATATGACTATGAGAATACCAAAATGGATATTCTCGATGTAACACAGTGTGCCTCACTGTTTATGAGGTGGCTGGTATTAATTTCCTTTCTGAACATCTAGTCTTGCTCCAGCGTTAGTAATACCTTCCATTGTTTTGAATGTGCCAGTGTCTGTAAAGCAGCTTTTATGATGCAGAGCACGAGGTTCCTCTCTGTTCCTGGAGTACAGATATTCTTCCAAAGACCAATGCTGTGTGAACTGTGAGGCTTACTGGAATTTTTACTGCAGGTACTTGCAGGAATATCTGACCTGAGGGCAAGTAAAACCTGTTCCCTTTTCCATACATACGACGCCACGGCCTCCTCCCTCCCACGTTAGAAATCATCCGTGATACCTAATCTGCCTCATCCCTCTTCCTAGGACAGTTGAAGTAATACCCTGAAATTGCTTTGAGCCCTGTGGTGTAGGCAAGAAGCTAGTAGCAAAAGGAGAGGGGTTTGCCTGGTGGAGCCTAGAAGTTAATCAGACTTTAACACTTAGATCTGTTAGGAACTGTGGCTTTCACAGATCTCTTGGGGCTTAAGGTTTCCTGTTACAGTAACTCTTGTCAACTTCACAGATATGTATGAGAAGTTTGTTTGGTTTATTTATTTATTAGAATTATTTGTAATTAATTGGGGCTTTGTCTGGGATTCCATCCTCTACTTACTGCTGGGATCTAATCCCACTGGTGTCTCACAAGCATATTCTTCAAACTGTCATTGAATCCTGTGCAGTTTTCATCTTCCTTTAACTCTGAATGTTCTCTCTGTTGCCTGACCATGCCGGCATAGCCATCGTTCCCTTTAAAGTTCAGCATTCTGCTGTCCTCTTGGGCTCCCAGCTTTCCCTTCTCTGAACGCTTAAGCCCAACTGCTGTTTTCACTGTCCTGGATCAGACTAAATCAATTATACTTTCTCAGGCTGTGGCCTGTACCAGGTGCTTTATGGGAAGATGCCTGGCACCTTGAGGAGTACTGTTCAGTTATCGAAGCATTAAACCCCCTTAATCTAGAGCATGTCTCTCCCAAGCCCTGCAGCACAGACAAATACTTTTACAGGATACTTGTAAATATCTAATCCTTTTTCTTTTGCTCCAGTAGTCTCTTGGACTTGGTGGTATTATGTGTCAGTGAGCAGAAGGTAGCTGTGTGTGTGTCTGGTTTCAAACCAGTCTCGGTTTGCTTCCTTGCTGTTAGTGTTACTTTTGTTTTGATTTCCCCACCATCACCACCCTTCTTTCCCGAGCTTGAATACAGCTCCCTTGGTCACCTGCTCTTCTGCTACTTGAGGTGTCTGTGCTTGTCCTCATCCTTCAAGCTTCTACATTCACCCGCAAGATCTCAGCCAGGCTTTCCTCCTTCCTCCCTACCATCCAGTCTGCTCTCATTGCCACTCTTGCATCCTTTGTCCGCTCTTGATTCTGAGTTACTCCTTAGTGTCTACCCTTACTCAAGAATGTTTTAATTCTGTGATACGTACGTTTCATAGTTCTGTGCTGTCCTCCTGGGTTGTTCTGTTCTGTTCTTGTATGTGACTCTAGGCTGTAAGTTCAAGGCTGGAATGCTGTCTGCCTTATGTTCCCTGCTTAGCAAGCTGTGTACGCTCGCTGTGCTCAGGTATTAACTGTTCTTTAAAGTGCTTTAAGGATCTTATGTGACAAATGTTGCAAACATGCTGTGCTGTGCTTACAGAGAGGCTTGATCCTTGACATGTAGACCTAAGCATTCTCAAAACTCCAGCAAGTTAGATCCAGAGGCTTGCTTAAATCTCTTTCTAGGCGTATAATTGCAGTAGGAGGGAGAGGGAATATAAAACTGTAGTAGAAGAGATGAGAAGTGGAATAGCGAATGGAGAGGGTGAGCTGCCTTTTAAGCTTTTAAAGCCAGGAGATAAATGCAGCTGGGAGCCATTGGTCAGCTTTCTAGAGCGTCTTGGTCTGATCAAGAGTTTGATGTTGCTTGTTGTCCTAGCTTATTTTCACAATGTAAAACTTATTTTGTGTGTGTGTGTGTGTGTCACTTAACGTGTTCAAAATAGCAGTCTGAGGGGAGAGACTCCTGCTGTGACATCAACTTTCCACTGAGTTATTTAAAAAGTTAGGTATTTTTACTGAATCCTGTGATGGGTCATCATTTTAACACTGGTAAATATTTCTTGTTATAAGAACAGACTTCCTTTTATAGTATCCACATGCTGCTATTTTTACTGAATCCAGTGTAGAGCTATTTCCTATTTCTAAATGTTCACTAACACTCAAAAGCTCTTGCGTGTTCATATGTGCTCTGTCTCTTTCTCTCTCAGCTTTTTTAGCCTTGTTGATCCATTATTGTGACTTCAGAGAGGCGATGCCAGCTTTCGGCATTTAATGGGCTGTGAGCAGGAAGATCAGCTACTTCCTCTGCCTGTGAGACCATGAAGTCATCAGCCGCTCTGGGTTGCTTTATCATCTGCTGCTGCTGTTGCTTTGGTGTATGTGGAAAGAATGTAAACAGCACTTTCCAGATGTTCGCAGGGAAGCTACAGATCCATAAATGGACTGTTTGGTTCAGGAATATTACTAATCTGTCTAGGGCATGGCAGTGAATAGAGTCACAAAAACATATAGCTCCATAGGTATGCTGTACAGCATGCTCTGTCAATTATATCACAGGAACAAGAGCTGTGTGCAGTTGGCAAGTGTGCTGGCTCTCTCTGTCTACTTATGTGGCCCCCATCAGTACCATGTCTGAAAACGCTGCAGGTCCTCAATTCAACTTCATGAGACCCTGGAGAGATGTGTTCTTCCCATTTCGTAGCTGAGGCACTGGGTTGTTGGAACAGTTAAGTGATTTCTTAGTGTGTTCAGGTGTTCGGTGGGGTAGGTGAAGGCTCATTTATACCAGCTTTCCTGCCTTCTCGTACCTTCTCTTCATCCAACTTCAACTCCTGAACAAAACACAGCAGCAGCACCCTTCTGATCTTGTGCTTAGCACATGCTGTTTTGTTCACCCAGTGTGCCTCCAAGTTGTGGTCTAATCGGACACAGAGTAAAGGAAAGAAAGCTGATCTAGTTTTTGAACTCTCAATACGGCATTTGGTGCAGTAGGAAGTACTGAATAAACATGGAAGTGTTTCATCTTGCTGTAGTATAGAATGAGAATTTGGAACTCAGTCTCTCTCATGCCCCGTCTAGGCTGGAAAAAGCATCAAATCACACTCGCTAGCAGTATATCCAAAAAAAGTCTGTTTGTGGGGGAGAATCAGTCGCTTTCTGCTTTAGGGTGTGTGTGTTTTTAATGCATTAATTAATTTTTATTGAGTGGTGGAAAAACTGATGTCAGAGCTGCATTGCGGCTGGCCGTGGAGGAACACAAGGTGGTAGGAAATAATACATCTAACATCATAAGGGCAATGAAAGTTTAACCATGGAGAGTTTAAAATAGCGAAGCTGAGCCAGGTGGATATTAAAAGATATGACTGAATCAAAACAACAGTCTAATAGTAAACTGGGTTTTTGCAGGGGGAATAGCAAACTTCAGTTAATTTCTCTTATGTATGTGGTGTCCAAGAGTAGGTTTGTTATCTCGACCTTTTGAGTTCTGACTTTGGTGTTGGCAATCCCTGGCCACCCAGGATACACACTGCAAGCTGCCGTCTAGATCTAGGGCTTGTTTGTCTATCTGCCTCTCTCTCTCTCTCTCTCTCTCTCTCTCTCTCTTTCCTTTTCTCCAGGCTTAGTCCTTCATATTCAGGAGCCTGTAGAGTATCCTTTTCCTTTTACGGTGGTCTGTAAACTTGTCCAGCATTACTTATCCCCTGGCATTGCTAACAGTTCAGATTGCAAAGATCCATGCAAACAAGACAGGGAGGCAGAGAGAAGTGCTTTGGAAAGTGGTACCAAAAAGCAGCATGGTTGCATAATTGTACAAAAGACAATGGATTTTTTTTGTTTTGTTTTCTGTCTCATAACCTGTGAACTGAAAAATGCTATTGGAAAGCCGAATAGAAAAACTTCAGTATCATTCATCACTGTGGGGACATGAAATGTATTGAAATAGTCCACCTGCTTTATGGCTGTTACTTTTTCTCTTTCAGGTTTGACATCTACAGGAAGGTGCCAAAAGACCTTACACAGCCAACCTACACAGGGGCTATTAGTAAGTAGCACTTCTCTTTGCTGTCCTTGCATACCCTTGGTCTAGAATTAAAGATCTTTTGGCCTCTCTGTCTTGGAGGATATTTTTAAAGGGATGCTAAACACTGGAAAGGGCATCCTTTGTTGCTGAGACAGCTCATTTTGCCCAATCTGTCACGTTGTACTAAATGATGGAGCAGTCTGCATGGCTTCAGAATCTTAACGGCATATCTTTACCACTTTTTGTTACTATGAAAGGGATCTCTTAAGAACTAAAGCTGAAATACCCACTGTGCTAGCTACTGAAGTGGCTAGAGAGCTTTTTGCTAGTGTCTTCCTGTGAACGGGAGCCGTGAGTCTGCTCTAAACGCTGGGTGGTGGTGGGGAGAGCTGCAGGTTTTTTTTTTTAATTTTTTAGTTCTCTCTGATGATTGGGTATCCCCTCAGTCAGGGTGAAAAACAGCTGAAGACAGTTGCATTCACATCTTGCTTGCCAAAGAGACTTAAGTTCTGATGTCTAGGTCCTGGGTCAGGAGGGAGGAGGACGGATGGCAACGCACAAGTGGCCAACGGTGAATGTGAATTGGAAGAGACAGATTTCTGTCACAACATGCTTGGGAGATTCATCTGGCATTGTAGCTGGGATAAATGAGCAGAGATTTTATTTTGCTTTTATTTGCCATGTTTTTAAAGAAGAAAAATTACTTTGTCAGAAACCACCAACAATGATCCGCTCTCACTCCCGTGTATCAATCCACAGACTTTGGCTGATACAAATCTCTTGCCTTGGGACTCCTTTCCTTCCTTCCTCCTCCTGAGGTGGGAGACTGCAGGCTGAGTAATGCAATTTCACACGACCATGACCAATGAGTGCGCTGTGCAGAGCGGTAAACATTGATCAGTTGGTCCTGCCAAGTCTGTAATTAGATCCCTAATGGAGCTTTCCTGTTCCATTGAACAGTGACTTCCTTTGATCATGTAGCTTTGCTCCATTCATCCATTCTCGTAGATGGGTCAGTAGCCTTGTATGTCACTGCTGATGTGAGTGGTGTCATATCCCTTGGTGACAACGGGCGTCAAATAGAACTGAGTCAGTAACAGCGAATCAATGGGACACAAAGCAAAGCCTTTTGTAAGCTAAGGAAATTCCTCACTGAAGAGAGTGTGTGACTCTAAATATATGTTTTCAGAGAGTCCTTATCCTCCATGTTCTCCTGATCGTGGACGGAGTTACTTGCCTATTGACTCCCATTTAGTTTTGCTGAAACTGTGAATAAAGGGCTCGAAACTGTTTACTAATTTAGAGGCATATGAGATTTAGTGTTTTGAAAGAAGGCTTTGAACTTGTTAGTGTTCTACCTTCTCTTCTGTTTTGGAAATTAAGAATTCCCACGCTGTATCTGGGCTCTGTTTGAGAATTTGTCTTGCTATGAATCACCTGCAAAGGAGTGTGTTTTAGAAACAAAAAAACCCATCAAAGGCCATCCAGTGTTAGGCTCTCTGATCTGCAGTAAACAGCTCAAGTGATAAGTTTGTTGTGGGAAGGCTTGGAGGCTGTGACTCTTAAAATTATTAGCTGACTTATTTCTCTCTATGGTTATTTGCAGCTTCTCAAGCTTTGGTTTTCTTCTCTGACTGGTTCTCCCTCTTTTCATCAGAATGCTTGTAGGCAGGCTGATAGAGGCTTTTGAACCACACGGGCAAACTTTGGCAGCTCTGTATGTGAGGATCTTGTATACAGCTTTCATAATGGGCTGTCTGACCAAGCCTGTGACTTGTAAATTGAAAGCCAGCAATCTTGAGCATTGCAGGAGGCTGTGAATGAGACTAGCCTATTGCCATGCCGGTCTGAAGCCTGGGAAGGTTGCATGATTTGGTGATAAATGCTTCAGGGAATTCAGGTTGTAATAATACTAGGAACTTGGGGGTAGGGGAAAGTTCTGCCTCACAAAACCTCTTAGGATTGGAAATCTGTGAAATGGCTATGGCGCAGCTGTACTTTGACTTCCTTGAAGTGTTTCAAGGTTTACAGAGCAGATAAAAAGTAGTCTGTAGTAGCTGACTGATAACTTGGGCCCTTGCCACAATTTCTGCTGAGGCTTTTAAGTCCCGTATCACTTCTCGTACTGAAGCCTTTCTGGAATAGGCGTGGATTTACTACAGGATTTCTGCAGGTGCTTTTGAATTCTAGAAAAGCCTCTTTTGAAAAATTTGATGCATTTATGCTGCCTGCGTTATGGAGGAAAGAGTAGATCAAATTACAGAAGACAGGAGATTGAAAGTACCAACTCTGCTTCTTACCACTGGGAGTCAGATAGCTAACTCCCCTAGAAAGAAGCTCAAAGACAAAGGAGGTAGCTCAATAAGCATCTTTTTTTTTTTTCTTGGTGGAGAAGAGCAGGCAATCTCAAATGCTAGCATGTTCAGAAGCCAGCTGGAGAGTCTGTCTGCTATGTAGGGTTTTATAATTTCCTAAGCTGCGCTGGATGCTGCATACAAGGTGTTTGAGATCTGCGTGGCAGACGACCTTCCAGCAACTAGACGTTAGTAGGAACGAAGGAGCAGGAGCAGTCCACTATCGTTTGGTGGAGTGAAGTTTGCCTAGAATAGCATACCCACTGCTATGTGCTTGTCTGAAATGTGTGCAGTAGTTGGGCGTTCCTTTTTTTCAGTAGAAATCTCTTGTTTTAGACAGTATTGAGGTACGTGCGCCACTCAGCCAGGTCATACTGCTGTTGTCCCAGTTCCTCCAGGTGCTTGTGCCAGTCCTTAAAAGCCTCCCTACCCCTGTTTAGCGGTGTCTGTGATGCTGGCACACAGCCATTCTAACAGACCTAGCTAGCACGGTGACAAATTGGCCGTGTTTGGGTATGCAGAGAGCAGTGGCGTGTGCCCTGGGTGTCTGACAGCTGACATCTGGCTGGACAGGAACAGTTTGACTTTTTGAGAGAGGGGTCTGCAGCTCAGGCAGCTGCTGTAGCAATCCTGCTACTTAACAGTCAGTGTGGATGCATAGTTTGCATACACATGTTGTATGCACACATGGTAATGTTATCCAGAAATACTCTATGCTGTGTGGAGGCTGGAGTTTTAAATACGCATCAGGAAATATCAGAGTTATGATTCACATGGCATCTGTAACAAGACCCGCTCCTCGCGCTTCATAGCAGTTTGCTTCATTGAACAATAAATGCCTTAATTTTATGCCTTAATATAGAAATGGATTCACATTCTTATTCTGAACGCTGTGCTAGACTCTTTGCTTTGCATTTCTTTCATTTCTTTGGGGGGTGGGGGGCAGTGTCGGGCACGTATATAGACAGAGGTACGTTCAGAAGGGATAGGTACAAAGGGTTAGGTTGTAGAAGCCAACGTGGAAAAGTTGTGTGGGAGATATCCCCATCCTTTGGGGGTTTCTCGTTAGCCAGCAGCAGTGTATTCCAATGTGTCTAACACTAGGAACTTTCAATGGATTGGTGGTGTTACCATAGTAGAGTTTTCATAAAGCCTGTCTATGATGGCCCTTAGAGTTCTGTGGGAACATTTGCAATGCTCTTGCAGTTGAATTAAACTTTGTATGTTAATTGTTTTATTCTGTCTGATTCCAGCCTTTAATCCACTTTTCCAAATAGAATACAAAAGTTGTCAAGCATGGGCTGTGAGAACTGTGCATTTGCATGGAAGCAAATAAAGGCTTCCACTATGAAATAAGTAGCTGAAGCACTCTGTGCGTGACTTCTTGTACTGGGAACATCACATGTGCCTGTAGAGGAGCCCATGCTCTGTATCTCAAAAAGCTTCCATCTAACTTTTGGCAGAAGAGACGGTTCAGTGCATAGGACTTGCACACAAGTCTCATGCCAACCTCCCCTCACCTCCCAAAAACGTGCATGTGCAGAGAGACTTTAACACAAGGTCAGCCAAGCCAGGTCAGTCCAAAGGTCCATTTAGCCTGATATCCTGTTTCCAGTAGTGGTCAGTAGGAGATGCCTAAGAAAGAGCATAAAGACAGGTTAAACGCTTCCCCAGCCTTCAGTCAGTTGGCAGTTTTGGAGCTTCCTGAGCTAGAGGTGGTTCCTTTGTGTTTAATAGCCCTCAATGGATTTATTCTTCAGGGAACATCTGATTCTTTTTGAAATCTTGTAGACTTTCAGCATCCACAACATCCATAGTCAAGGAGTTCCAGAATTCAGTTGTGTTGTGTAGAGAAAAACCTCCTCTTGTTTTTAAACCTTCCCCTTCCCTCCCATGCTTGTACTGGAAGAGACAATGAGCAGTTGTTGCCCATTCATCTCCTCCAGGCTGCTCATAATTTTATAGAAATCTCTCGTGTTGTCCTCAGCAATCTCTTTTCCAGGTTGAAAACTGACCATGCAGTTTGAAGACTGGCAAAAATGTTAAAGGCCTTTGAAAGTCAGTCCCTGCCAGGTGTTTCAGGGTACTCTTACTCACCTGTAGAATTTCTAAATATAGGCTAGTGTAATTTTATTGTACTCTACTTGATAAGTATTCTCACAGGTCTTTGGTAGAAGAGGTGAAATGAGAGATGGACTTGAGGGAGCAAATACTTGGTATGCTGGGAAAGGAGAAGGTAATTCAATGACAGAAATGGCAGAGAAGAAAGTAAAAAGTTGGAAGAGAAAGCAAGCTTCAGAAGAGAATTTACAGTTAGCAGTACCAGGCTTGCACAGAAGTGATGGAGAGCCGAGAGATCTGGCTGATGCTGTGGAAGGCCTTTTCTAGGATGATAACGAGGCACAGAGGAATGTGGGAAACGACTAAGGATGAAACGGTTGTCTCCATGTGAAACATTTTCCCTCTACTTACTAACAAAGATGAGTGATCTTGTGTCTCTGCTGTTTGGTGATTAACAGTAAGAAACACTAGATCAACCTGTCTTGTGACTGGCTGGTTGCTTCTTTTGTGCTCTTACGTAGGTGTATATATTCTCGTAAGAATCTGCCACTGTGCTTTAAGTAGACCTTTCTCCTCCCCCATGCTGCTCTTCTACCCTGCTAGCAGCTTAGCTGGGTTACAGCAGAGTGTTCTTCTCTGTGTCTTGACAGCCAAGACTTGGAACTAGCTGTGTGACCATCTAAGGGGGTTGCTCTTTGAAAATTAATATCTCCTCTCACTTCCCATTTTCCTGCTAATTTTTGGCTTTCTTTTTCCCTTCTCTCTCTCTTTCTTCATCCTCGTTAATGTATTTTTTTGGCATCTCCTTTAATCCCTTGCCCTTTTGAGAGGGTCAGTAAATGAATCCAGCCTTGAAACAACCCTGATGAGGAAGGGGAAGCAACACATTTCTTTCCTCAGAACCATGGGCTGACTAATCTGAAGAATGAGGCACAAGGCTTTGGGTCACTTCAGGGCCTGTCTTGGCATTTGCCTTAATTATCTCCTCTTTCCTTCCCTTGCCTCTAATACTCTCTACCAAGGCTGTTTGGACAAGCACAGTAGCGTGATACAATTGCTCTCCAGCCAGTTGTTGCTTGTGCTTCCCAAAGGAATGGGTATTCAGGCTTTATTGGTCACACGGAATAAAGTTGAGGAACAAGGTTTTCTTATGTATTTCTCAATCTTAATTAGGAGCTATGGTAAGGTGCTCATTTCAGAGTGCTTGGTCATTATTACTCTCCTGGGACTGAGGGGCGAGACAGATTATGTGCCTGTTGTCACAACTCTGGAATAACGTGCCATTTCCTGGTTTACTCTTTTGTATAGTGATTCACTGTGAACTTGGAAGTTTTATTTGATACCGATATACATTGCAGCCCTGTCTCCTTGAGCTGGCGCATCCTTGTCTGCTCCAGTCATCCCTACTCAGCAGGGTTTTCAGCTGTCCGTCCTTCCAGCCCCTCCTCTGCAGGTCTACTGTGTGAACCTCACTGTACAATGTTTTGTACAGTTTTCTGATGACGAGTAACCAGTAATATACAGTTACTTTGGGCTCCCTTCTTTTAACTCTAGGTTAGCTTTCTTAAGAAAGATAAGGGACTTGCTGTTCAGGTACTTTGTGTTTCCTTCACTAGGATTTTTCCCTCACTGAAGAGCCAATGCATCTGCAAATGGAGAAATTAGAGAAGCATCAGGCATTGGCTAGACTAGTCCATTGTCCCCATGTCTCTGCTGTGCCAGCTCTGTCTGTTGGGTTGGACAGACTGTGCGGCCAACTTTCACGTGGCCTTAGGACTTGGTAAAGAGGCAAAATGTCTCCTAATCCACAATATGCTGCGTAACTGAATGTGTGCTTTTGAAGCAAGATGGTGTTGATTCTTGTTTTAGTAGCAGTAAAATGTCATTGGCAAAGGCTCCAAGGATGTCATACTATCAAGCAGCCTGGCAAGAGGGAGGGAGGGGCTGGCTGACCAGCGCTGTGTACTGGAGATGGAGAAAGTGGGAGCCATGGGGAGATGGAAATTGCCCTTTGGGTTGGAAGGTAGCCCAAGAGTTTAGATATCCAGCGGGATGTTGGATATTCTGGTGCGAGACTTCTGAGGTTCCAGTGGTATCACCCTGAGCTCTCCTCAGGGTCCCTGTCTCTTAAGAGAGTGTGAATTCTCAAGTGTGTCCTGAGTGACGCATTCATCGAAGGAGTAATTTGTCTACGTGAAAACAACTTGTGTCTTTATTAGAGATATAAAACTAACCTTTTCCTCCATCTTCCTCTTTTCCAGTCTCTGTCTGCTGCTGTCTCTTCATACTGTTTCTCTTCCTGTCTGAGCTCACCGGATTCATAGCCACTGAAATGTAAGTAAAAATCATGTTTTCTTTTATATGAGTGCATATGTGTATATGGTTCTTTAAAGCTTCATTCTGTTATCTTGCATAAATGTGTCTGTAATTTCACTAGCCCAATTAGTCAAGTAATGGTTTTTGGACTCCTTTTGGTTGAGTCCAGAGTCTCAATCATTCATTCAGCTTTTTAATTTACTAATGTATGCCAGGCAAACTTAGTTCAAAAATACTTTTGTTAGAGAAAGCTGTTCCAGACCTACTTGATCCTTTATCAGCGGCATACTAGATTTGAGTGTTGCGCATGGGGGATGTTTTTGATGTGACCACAGATTATACCCAGCTTCTAACCCTTTCCAGTTTCTGTGGTGATCAGGTGTAAGGTAGTGTGAATGCTAGAGAGGTCAGTGCCTCTTCCCCTTTAAGCTGTTCATTTCTTGTGCTCATCTGAGATTGTTTCTCCTCTTCTTCTGAGTAGATACTTTCTTCTGCGCTTGTTTTATTCAAAGTGATTCTGGAAAAATAGCATCTTTTTCATCAGTGACACCATATTTTTAAATGTGTGGTGCCTACTGGTGGAACCCATGCAGTCTGTGCTCTGAGACTGCAGGGTTTCCATTGCTGATATGGTGGGATGCCTGACAAGACGTTTTCTTTTCCCCTCACTTCCCTGTGGACAAAGTGAGGGTCACATTTTCCCAGTCTTCACTGGACATTTTTGGTGATGCTTTTTTGGACTAAGGAGTTGCATTTAAGCATGAATGATTTTTAGCTTAATGTTAATAATGCTACTTTTTTTTTTTTTTTAATCTGAGATAGAGCTGAATGTCTGATACATGCAGATAGGTTTACTTGTGACGTGGGTATTATCCTGTCTTTGTGCCTGTTGAGCCTTACTTGGAAATGTAGTTGACAGGCTTTGTACCTAAAGAGGAGCTGTCCCCAGGTAACCTCTTCAAGACCTTGCTCGAGCAAAATGAAAATAATTTTCTTTTTAAAAAAATCACTCATAGAACATGTATTTTAGTTGAATCAGACTTTTCCCCCCCCTCTTCTCATGCTCCTCTGCCTTAAAATAAACTTTCCTTAGTAACTCCTTCTCCATCACCCTGCTGATGTGGCAGTGAGCTCGCTAGCTGTGATGTACGATTCCTGGAGAGTTAGGAAGGGTGGAGCTTGCATCAGACGTACATGGTGGTCCAGATAGCACCAGCCATCCCTGCCGGGCAAAGCAGCTCTTGAACGCGTTGGACTCGTGTGCCAGATTTTGACGTACCGTGCTCTGTGTTGGTTCTGATAACCGTGTGGCTCTTTCATTGCTTTTGTGCGACTCTGACTTGGAACGAGAATATCATCTCGAGAATAATTGTAACTTTGAGTAATGCTTAACCTTAAGACAGCAGTGTTATCTAGCTCTAACTAATTTTTTTATTCCTATTGTTCATTTACTTCAGAGATAGTATCTTATGTTTCTTACTCCCTTATTCTTTCTTTGAATTCGGTTCCATGCCTTTGCTTATAAAGTACTTGCGATCAGCTTGTCAACCCACTTCTCTCTAGAGCTGAATTGTCTTTTAGAAAAAAAAAAAAAGCTAGACAAATCGCTTCAAGTAAAATAGTACTCTTCCTTGTTCTCATCTTAGATCACATTCTCTCATTTGATCTTCTTTTTCTTTTTTTTCTTTTTTTTTTTTTTTTTTTGGTTAATGCTTTACTGGGGAAATCAGTGACATTTACTGAAGTCTGATCAAATTAAGTGGTGTGCCTTTGTGTTGTGAGAGCTTCCTGACTAAAGATTTCTTTTTTGAACAGCCAAATTATATGATTCTTTGAGGTCTCTTCAGGCTTTTTACACATTGTGACCTTGTTAACAGGATGATGCATTTTCCACAAAGATATTACGGGTGCTGTAAGTTCCTGAACGCTCAGCTGACAGGATTCTCATTAAAACCTCAGAGAAATGCTATACTGCCATTCCCAGCAGGAACTACTTGGAGAGGAGGTGTTTATAAGCAGTAAAGCAGTAAAATTTTAGTGAGGGTGTCATGGAAGAGGATGAGACAAATGAATGCAGGAAACTGATTCGTCATGGACCATCCAACACAATAACTTGCAAAATATGAAAACCTCCTTCTGATGAGTTATAGGTCATCAAAATCTCTCTTGCTGGGAACAGATCACCCACAGTATTTGTGAAGAGTCTCCTTCTGTAACAATGGAAATACTTCAGAATGTGACATTAACAAAGTACTTCCTAGTTCAGTAACTTCTAAAGACAAAGTAAACTTTTCTTTTTCCATTTCTTACTCATTGCTCTCTCTTCTGGGAAACCCTGCACCATAGAGGTGTTCAGAGATGCTACTAACCTCTTGTGTTTCCCTTTCAAAGGTATATTACTGGTGGTACGTTATGATGCAGCATAGTCCAGTGATTTGGACTTTGGGTGTAGAAGTGTGGAGCTGTCGGGAGCAATGTCAGATCTGCATGCTGCCGTTACGAAAGGGGTGGTGGTAGATAGCAGGGGGGGGATGTTATCTCACAAAAGACATTTTTGAGCCTTACTTGCCCCTAAATTATATACTTTTTGAAGATACAGAAGATTGCTCAAGTGCAAATTGTTGAATTCCAATCAACTAGTATTACAAGCTTCAAGTCTCTTTTATATCAAGAGTTTTCTACAACAGATATCCCTGCCAGCTTGAAGTTTCCTTGCGTCAGCCAGGATCTGAACGATTAACCACGGTATGCTTACTTGTGTTAACTTACATGGAATAAGCTTTCCTGCTTTGCCAGTGCCAACTGCATTACGAGACTTCCATCGGTCTTTCTCCTCTTGCGTAATGTTTCCCTTTAAAGCAGTCCTGCACTTGACAAAGCAGGATTGCATGGAAATAGCTGCGCTTCTTGGATGGCAAGGAGAAACTGAGAGCCCTTGGCCATGTGCCTTGCATCAGAGATGTACCAGATTGCCTGATGTGGACCCATGCATAGATCATAACCCTATGCCAAGTAATTGTGCATGGTGCATATGCATGTGACAGCCTGCTTCAGGGCAAGTCGGTAGCAACCTCAATAGCAGTGGTACCCACAGGATTAACTGTTTAACTCTCACCAACAGGAGGTTTCTTCACTGTCCGCATCTAAAGCGCGAGGCTGGTGTGGTTTGTTGTACTCGTGTGCTGTAACATGAGAAAACAAGATCTCCTCTGCACTACACCAACCCCTAGCGCTTGCCAGCTTCTACCCAGTGCTGGATTTTCTTCTACATTCGTTGGACCGTCGCAACGTAATTTCCTATTATTACTAGAAATCTCAGTTTGGTCGCTCTTACTCAACTTGATCGGTGTTTTTCTGTAACCAGCCCCTTGTCTTAGTGCTTGTAGTCTTAACTGCCAAAGGCTTGTCTAGGTAGCAGAGGCCAGGAAATGGTACCCTCGTCTTGAGGTTAACAGTCATAACACTAAAACTAAACAGATTATCTACGTGTGGAAGATGGCGTGCACCACAATAGCTGTGTCATAACTCGCTGTGTAGGCATGTCTAATGAGCACCAAGATTGCGTCTGTGCGAGGGAGCTTGCTTCAGTTAGGAAGCCAAGTGAGATACTGCGCACATCACAGCGGCCGTGCAGGAAGTTCATGTGGCGTAGGTAACGCACTGTAAATGCACATCCTACTTTGCTGCTTGCTAGCTTCCTGTATAGACAAGCCCCGAGTAGTTTAGAAAATTCCTAGTTTCTCATTTTCTAAATCTATTGCATGACTCTAACAGGGAATCCTCTGAGTAGCCATGAGGGAAATCAAAGCTTGTATCTTAGGTGGGGCTACGTATTTTTTCAGGAAAAGTACAGCAAAGTGCTGATGAGGTAAGAGAGTCTGTTGTTTTGCTCAACCACAACTCATCGTTGCAGTTAAGAGGACTAGCACTGGAGAGATTAGCACTGGAAATCAGACCCAGACTGAGTGTGACTGAAGCTCTCAGAACGGTCCAAAATATGGCATGCTCCTCAGTTCTTTTAAAGAAAGATAAAAGAAAGGAGGTCCATGCTCCACACTTGTATTTGATACTGTCAATTTTGCAGAAGTCCATGTTTGTCCCGCTGAGCAAATGACTGAAATGGCTGAAGAAATAAAGCTGAAGTGTTAAATGTGTTTGGTATTTCCTGGGCAGGCTCAGTAGTAGACTGAGAGTGGACTCAGGGCTAGAAGTTGCTTGGCATACCTTTAAGGGCCTTCCTCACTCATCTTGCTGTTATGTTGCAAATCAAGAACATAGAAATCATCTATCTCTTTTCTAATTAACCCAGATCAATTCTGGAAGTTAATAGCTGGCAAGAAGATAATCCTGCATTTTATGACCTTAATTAGGTCATGAATTATATTCTATAGGTTTGATAAGAGTTTTCAGAGTATTCCATTATTAAGGAGGCAAGATGTAATTAACTAATTTAGTTTGCCTTGCATTGGCAGCCTGGGGAAGGGATAGGAGGGTATGAATTTGGCACTTGTGGTATGAATGTGACAGGTCAATTATTGTTGACCAGATACAGCACACTAAGTAGAAAGCAACAGGCCATTCCTGGCAGTGTTGTGGTGGTGGTGGCGGTGGTGGTTGTTTGTGTTTTAATGAAGTAACTGGCACTGAACAGGTGGAAATGACAAGTTTGCTACTTGAAATGCTGCATCCCCCTGCCAGGCAGTTAATTACTTAGGTAGAATATCTGCAATAAAAATACCGTATTTGCATAAAGTCATAAATCAGCAACAATGTCCAAATCATTTGTTCGTTTGAGGTGACTGGGTCATTCACTGCGAACACCTGCTTTCTTTTATCTGTCTGAAGAATACCTACCTTGGCCAGTCTGTGAACATCACAAACATGAGATATCATGTGCAGCACAACTCAACTCTTTGTGCGGGCTGTCAGGTGCCGCACATATGGAAGCTCCTGGCCTTTTGCTTCTTCCCAAGACCAATACTGCTTGTTCACCCTGGGCTTACTTGCATGCCCAAGACTGATCCTGCAATGAAACAGGGGAATAGCTATCATATCTGCCTTCAGAGAACTCGGAGCTCCTCTGTTCCTTAGCTCCCCGAGGTATGTGGAATGTGTTTTGTGGCTCTTGGCCCATGAAAATTTCTCATAGCAGCTTTCAAGGTCAAACTGCACCTGCTCTGAACAGCAGTGTGATCCTGGTGCAACAAGTATTCCTCCTGCCGGGGACTGTAACCTCGGAGCACAGGGAGCACAGTGCTAGAGCTTGTATGTTCTCATCCAGGTCCCAGACACTAAGCCAGAAACGCAACTCCAATTCCACTAGCTCATCTGGTTGAGGCAGATGAAATTCTGGAGCAAGCTAGACCAGAAGGTGGAATAAGACCTAGTAGCTAGAGGGGAATGGGAGTTGTGATCCTGCTCTTACCACTGACTGACCTTGAGACAAACACTTAACTTTTCTGTAGAAGGACAGTAATACTTAGCTGCCTACCTCTCAGGGGTGTTAAGAGGCTTAATTAATGTTTGCCTAGTACCTTGGAGATTACCTAATAAAAGGTGTTGTATGGTTGTGAAGTGTTGTTATGCCGTCTGTCCTAATGTACCTGTGTGGGTTAGCAGGAAGCGGAAGGTCGTGTCATGATGTCATTTGCAATCTCTGACTCAAATATACGTTGACGTCTTTAGAACCCTTCTCCTTCTTCCTGCCTCCTGGAGAATTGTAATTCCTTCCTTTGTAGGACAGTGTGTTTTCTATGCTTCGCCAAGATCAAATCTGGGCTAAAGACCTTCTAAATGAAGCTTTGACTGAGATTCAGGCATAGAAGAAAGCTTACAAATGGCAGAGCAGTACACTGCATGCACAAATTGAGAAGATGGTTCATTTGCCTGAAGTTGACTCTTTTATGGCTTGGCACAGCTGAGAAGAAGGTAGCGTAGGAGCCTCAGCTGGGGCAGCTGTGGTTCTGGAAGCTGTCAAGGGGATGGTCGATTAGAGCTCACCTAGCAAAGTCTCTTGAGAAGCTTTGGACTCCACTGAGAAAGAGTAATTATTTTCCCCCTTTAGCTTTAGGGTCCTGGAGGCCAGAGAGTGCTTCCTGGGAGTTAGAGAACAAGGTAAAATGCAACTTGCTGGAGTCAGCAGTGTATTTTTTGTCTGTACGGCAGATTACTGGGGAGGAGGGTGTCTGGTTGTTTGCTGTGAAAGAGGGAGCAAAAAGGTTAGAATCTGTCTGAAGTAAAGACTAGGCCAAAGACGACAGAGGACAAGGAAGATGCATTCAGGCAGAGTTTGAAGTTCAAAAAGGCTGATACAGTGTGCCTTTTCTCATGTTCAAAGGGCCGCAGGCTCTTCAGCTCGTGAAGTGCTGAAGTGTCTAATGTTAGTGGCCAAGGTTGCTGGGTGAAAATAACATCTCCTGGGGAAGTTTGTTTCTGGGGAAACAAAGCTGTTGTATCATAAATCTAAGTCTTGGAGCATTGAGAACATTGGATAAGATCATTAAGAAATATTAAGCCCCTTTGCTGCTGTTTTCCCCCTTTCTCTTCTCTTGCGTGCCTTTTCCACAGTCTGCAACCTTAGCCAAATAATCCCTCCAATTTTTCTGTGTAGTGTTACAAGTTTATAAGCAAGCAAACAGGATGAGTAACTGAGAAGAAGCCCAGCAGCCAAGGAATGTGAAGTATTTCAGAGTAGCTCTTTCTAGAAGTGAACCAGATTCTTTCTGTGTGGATCATGGCTCCTGCTGCATAGAGAAACTTTCCTCCCTTTTTTCCTCCCTTTTTCCTTGAAACAGTGAAGGTTGCTCCCTGTGGTGGGAGCAGTGCACCTCTTACCTGTCCTACTGCCCATGTTACACTTTCATAGCTCTGCACCTAACCACTGCTTTATTGTGCCACTTTATTTAAGTCGTCCTTGACAGCAACCAGTAAAATACCAACCCCTACTTACTTAGGGTCTTGGGAGGAGGTATGTGCCACCTCTGTAGTCACAATACAGGCGTATATACTGCTCTCTCCAAACAGCTGTATGAACCATTTGTACTTGCAGTGTCCTTCCGCCTGACCTCAGATTTTATCTCCCTTGTGACAGTCCCAGATTCATGGTTAATCCCTGTTGCTCTAACCTTGGGACACTTTAGATTCTAGGAAGGGCAACTATAAGTCAGAGCCAACTTCTTTTCTTCCACCGGCGACGTTATTCCTCCGGGGAGAGTTGCTAGAGGTAGCAAACACCACTTCTCCCAACATCCCAGGGTTGTCTAATTAAATAATAGGAAGGCTGTGTGCAGCTTGGATTCTTGGCCTTGGAGAGGGGGATAGCAACTGCCAGCTCCATCCAGCTTCCTCCCAAGGGAGGAAGAAGTGGAACAAGGACCAGATGTTACAAGCTGTCAGGTGTCTAAGGAGTGATAGGTAGGGCTGTAGAGTTGGGAATATGAGTAGGGGGCTACCAGGCAAAGAGGAGGAGGAAGTGGCCGTGAGCCTTGCCCAAGGGACAAGTTGGGAACTGTTGGTCTAGTGACCGGAGCTCAGGGCAGGAAGGAAGTCGCCTTTATCTTTGCAATTAATGGGATGTGTAACATGGACAAACTGGCCTACTTCTCTTTGCCTCAGTGATCCAGTCTGTAACTGAGTGACTTCACCACTTTGCTTTCCTGTGTAAAACATTTGGCTGTGTGCACAGTTAGTCCTTGGACTTCTACTAGCCACCATGTCTCACTCTGTTATTGCCAAGAGGCTTGTGTGCATATGCGTGCTCACAGACCACACCTGACTGCGCTTCTTCTGACTAGTTCAGAACTGGAGATCGCTAAATGCAAATAATAACGTTCCTAGAGTTTCAGTCCAGAGAAGCGGGATCTGAGCTGCTTAACCTGATGTGTTCGTCAGCGAGCGCACATGCTCCTTTCCGCCAGTGCTGTTAAACTGCCTGCAGCATTGGCTGGGCATGGTCTACATCTCAGACGGCAGAGAGAGCTGGGAAGAAGCCAGGTGCTGTTATGAAACAGGTTTGCTGGCAACTGGGATCTTGGTGGGAGGACTCCGAGAGTGCAGAAAGGTGCCTGGCTTTGGGGGATTAATGCCTCTCCTGGCTGGAGCTGCTCCTCACAACCATATTTGGAAGTATGACTTAATCCTGTACGCTACCTAATCCGTCAGTAATGAATACGTAGAGGATTTAATACATTCCACCTGGAAGGAGAGGGCTCAGCCAAGAAGCTTCTAACTAGGTCGCTGATGAGCAATCTTGCCCCTCCCTCTGTGTCATTTTTATTAATCACTTGAAAAATACATTGAGTAACGATTGCAAGTAACTTGTCAGGCCAATTAAAAACAGAGAAAGGTAGGGCTGTGAAGCCAAAGACAAATGCTGTGCCGATTTTAAATGACTGTCTATAAACCCCACTGACCTGTGAATAATTATCCCAGCAAAACTGGCAGCTATGTGCTTCTCTGTCTGAAGACTTGTTTCTTCTGAATACGCAGGGCAAACAGTTCATTATTGTCCAGAGATGTATCACCAGGACGAAATCACTTTGAGTCTGTCTTGGAGCTGCCAGTAATCTGGTTTGTCTATTAGCATACACGCTTTTCGGCAAGGGCTTGTCAAAGTGTTTCATACACTTTGAGCATTAAATAAAAATAATGCAAAGCTCTTACTGGTGAAGGTAGTTTATTTTATGGAGATTGCCTGAACGGAAGTTCCCATCGCTTTACGATCCCTCCTACTGGGAAACAAATTGTCAAATCTTCTTACTTGATGAGGATCTTTTTGTTTTAATGTGGTGTTTTTCCTTGGAATGTGTTTTCTAGGATTGCTTATGCTTAGCTAACGCTGCTGTTCTCGGGGGCGGGGGGTATATTTTAAGTGTCAAATGGATTGTATGTGCCAACAATAAATATTTATAATCTTGTACTCCTTTTACTTTTTATCTGTATTTTGTCTTCTGTGAAATATGTGCCAGCCCTCTGGGTGCTATAAACAGCATTACTCTTTGGGAGACTGTTGCATAGCGTATTAGAGCCTGCTGTCCAGGATGTTTCATCCCATCTGTTTCCTGGCTCAAGTCCTCTTCTCCTCAATTGTATGTGTTGTTTTTAGTTACAGTTTTTAGGCTGAAATGAGATGTTAAGGAGAGACGTGCAAGTAGGGGAGAAGGGCAGGGGGGAGGCTTTGGCACCCAAGAAGGGAGCACTAGCAGTGGAAAGCCGAGGAATGGAAGCAGCTCAGGCAGCTTTCTAGCCTGGCATGGTTAATCACAGGTCTCAGTGCCCCACAGCCTGCCATGCAGCTACCCTTGCTTCTGCTGTGTCAGCTGGGTGGCGAAAACAGATGGCAGTTAGTTAGCCAAATCGTCCTTTCCTGTGGGATAGCTGAGAGCAGCCTTTCTCTAAACCTATCTGCGCTATAGAAGAGCGCCTGCTTCCCTCTTTTGTGAAAGGAAAAGCGAGCTAGCACACTAGCCTGTCGCCTCTTAAACACTAGGTTCTTGTTTTGTGTCGTTAATGAGGCTCAGGTGGGGGGGAATGAATTAGAGCAGGAGGATTTATTTTTCTTTTTTTCTGCTGTAGAGGAGACGTTTAGAGCCTCCGTATACTGCGCTCGTCAAGCAAGGAGTAACGTTAAATTGTGGCTTGTCCCCATGCAATTGGAGAGACAGTTTCTGCTCGCAGTCCGTAACTCTTGCTAGCAAGGGTCACACAATCAAAACACTAATTTTTGCGTTCACTTGCGAGTTCTTTCTTTGGAAAGTAGCTGAGTGCGTGAACCCACTTGTGGTCTTGTGTCCTCCAGAGTTAATGAGCTCTACGTGGATGACCCAGACAAAGACAGTGGAGGGAAAATAGAAGTGAATCTGAACATCAGTTTACCAAACCTGCATTGTGAATGTGAGTACCCCCTTTCACTCTTCGTTCTTTCATCGTGTTTTAACTGATAATTGAAAGAGGTCTGAATTGGTGTAGTGGCCCTTCTTCTGTAACGGAGTGGAGATGAAGTAGCTGCAGTCTTTGCCAATACCCCTTTGCTTTGTGTTTCAGGCTGGGACACCTGTTTTCTTGGCCCTGAGCTCTCTCTGCAGCCCTTGGTAGTGGCTGACCTTCCTCACTGGCTTCTTTGTCTTGTTTCCTTTTTTAGAGTGACCTTTTTGTGTTTGGCAGCAAGAAATTCCCAAGTTTTATTTGTAATTCTGAATGGACCAGCTACATGTTGGCTTTCACAAATCGCCTCCCTTGATTACCTGACATTTTTCTGTTTCTAAACTTGAGATTGTAGTCACCTGGCAGGATATAGGAGATACTTCTGTGTCAGGTAGGCAGTCTGAAAAGTTTGGTTGTCAAATCCTTTCCGAAGAGCTGGTATGACAATATTTGACAGGTGAATTTACTCATTGCCGGGAAAAAAGATGTGAATTTTTTTTTTTCCAGCAAAAGCAGTACATACCTTTCCTGTACAATCTTTCTGTTTTTTTTTTTGTTTTGTTTTGTTTTGGTCTTCCTCTTCCACCCATGCAGTAGTTGGACTAGACATCCAGGATGAAATGGGAAGGCATGAAGTGGGTCATATCGACAACTCGATGAAAATACCTCTCAACAATGGGGATGGCTGCAGGTTTGAGGGCCATTTCAGCATCAACAAGGTGAGTAGGAACGACAGCGGGTGAGTGTGCTGGCTGGAGAGGTGCTAGCAAGATCCATTTGTAAAATGCCCATGAAAATCTGTGTGTCAGTGTCTGCTGCAGAGGATGCATGCATGTCCCTAATCAGTAGGTGAGCTTGGTTCTCTCGGTGATGCAGAACAATGTGTGGAGAGGAGGCTCTGTAGTTAGACCCACAGAGAGCATGTTAGATCAGGCTCATTCTTACCGTTCTCCAGCACAGATAATCCAGGTAGCATTGTTTTAATAGCAGAGAGTAGCCCTGTGGTCAGTGCTGCCACTTTCAGTGAAGCTGCCCTAAGGTTTAGGGGACTGTTTGAACTCCTTGCGAATGCGGAGTGACTTCTGTGCTTACTCGTCACGACTTTTGCACCTCCAAAATGTGACTCACTGTGCAGAGGTCTTTGGCAATGTCTCTATCCAAACCTCTTTTGTTCCAAGAGCCACAGAATGACAGGAAAATTCCCTGCTAGAGGACGCCAGCCCAACAGAAACGGCTCAACGTTAAGATGTTTGGAATACATACACGAGGCCTGTGCGCATGCTTCGTAGGGGTGCTCTGCTTCTGTCTCAAGGAATGAAAATCCAGGCCTGGAGGAGGCTCCTCTCTGGGATGGGTGTGTTAAGAATTGAATAATCTTGCTATGTAATGCTGGAGATGACTATTTGGGGTGGGGGAGGCAGAGGTGGGGCCAACTGATGTCCTAAGAAGGGCACACCCTTTATTCACGCCTCCTCATGTACCACAGGCTACAAAATCCTACTTCCTTCTTTTCCTCCCAGGTCATGGTAAATCGCATCTAAAAATAACAGACAGAACCTCTTGCTGATTCGTTGGCGTGGAAAGGATTAGGGACTTAAAAAGAAGACGTTTCTTTCCTGACCTCTAAGCCATCAAAACTACTGGTAGCTGATAGCCCAAAAAAGTGGGAAAGGGCTCGTTGAAAGCTAGTTCTTGTTCTGCTAATCCCCAAAGCGCAGAGCTAAAATACTCTTTTTTTTTTCCTGGTATGTGTGGTGCTTTCTGCTCACCAAGGCAACTCAACAGGGGGCTGCTGTACATGGCAGTCAGAAGTTCCCTTTGCTTCTTAGTTTGTGTGGGGCCACTGTTTGTGTCGTGTCATATCATGGTTGTGGCCACTGTCAGAGGGAGAGGGGCCTAGCACAGGGCTTCTGGCTCTGAAAATCTGAACCTCTCATGTTTGAGGTGAAAGTCTTCAATCCCTTGGTAGACATTTTATGGACTTCTGTGTGACCTACAGGTCATACAGAACAGGACAGGGCCCTGCCTTGAAACCCGACTGAGGATCACAGTCGGGCCCTCTTCTGTGGGCCTGTGCAGACATACAAAGACAGTCCTTTCTTTGAAGAGCTTATGTTTGAAGACGCTGATCCTGCAAAGAGCTTCACAGCTGCTGAGCTTCCTGTTGACTTTGGTGACTGAGTGAAGTTAGTGGTAGGAGCAATGATTAGAGCCTGAGTATGTGACAGCACCTGGCAAGGCATCCAGCCTGGAGAGGGGGCAGAGCGAGGTGGTTTTCCATTGTTCCTGTTGCAGAATCTGCCGCCCCGTTCACTTAGGCTGCGTATGTCCACACCTCAAAGTGTTTCCTGGAGCACCCAGCTCCTCATCAAGTCATTTGAATTGGCTTTTCTGAAAGCTTATGTAACCAGCATGCGGCCTGTGCCGGTTCAGCTGGTGAAGCATCTCTGCAGAGAGGACTGGGCACTAGTTGTATAACAGTCCTCCCGCTGTTGTCTCAGACTGTTGTCAGATTGCTTTTCAGTGTTGCCAAGGGGTTTGCAAATCAAGACCATTTGATTTCCTGCCCTTTTCCTGCTAGGAAGTTTCTTGCAGCTTCCATAACCGTCATTGAGCTAACTCTGCTGAAAGACTTCACGGTATAGGGCTAGTGACCTGAAAGGGTGCGCGTGCCACAGCGATCCAGTCAAAACGACATCAGTGCTCGTTTGCTGTCTTGGCAACTGGAGTCCTTAGGTGAAATCTGTATTTTTCAGAACTTTGTGTTTCTCTCAGTCAAAAAAAAAAAAAAAATCCTGTACTTGAAAGGGCTGTTACCAGGGTTGGAAGCGGAAGATATGGTTTAGTTTGAATATGAAGCCTATAGATTTAAAAAAAAAAAAAAAAAAAAAACTTTTTTCTTCCCCCCAGTCTTGTCAAATGTA